GCAGAGTGTGCAGTGTTGCTGCCACCCCTCACTGAACCTGAATATTGCACAGGTTCCCATATTGGCAGGGTAGAGAATCAGAGAGGGAAAAGTGGGAAAACTCATGGGATGAGAAAGCCCAGGAGCTGAGATGACAGAGTTTAATGTGTAAAACAAAGCAGTACATGCAAGCAAATCCAAACAAAGAATGAATTCTCTATTTCCCATCAGCAGGTGGATGTTCAGCCATTTCCAGGAGGGCAGTACTTCATCCATGGGATATTTGGGAAGAAAAATGCCATCACTCAAATTATGGTCCTCCCTCCCTCTTGGTCCCATTTTTTACTGCTGAGCATGACACTTCATAACATGGAATGATCATCTACAAGCTGGAATTTCATTTTTTTAATTACTGTGCTACAGACCCAACCCAAAGGCAAGCTGGTTTTGTGAAATTCCAGGATTAACCCAAAGCCTGGCTCAGTGGGCTGCTTGCAGAAACAAAGGACACTGGACCTCTACCTAAGGGTGGGGGGAGATGGTTCTTGCTACCAGAGCTGTGAGAGTTATTCAATTCCTTGAAATTTAATTCCTAACAATCTTCCCATACTGACCTGGAGCATCCAGTGCACAAAGCAGCCCATTACCCTACTTTACAAAGAATGTCTGGGTTAAAATAAAAGATTTCATGAGCCTGCAGAGAGCTTCTGTAACCTGAATTAAATTCTGACATTGTTCACTGATTATCATTAATAACACAAAATATTTTAACAGAGTTGAAAATATATCCAGAGGAGCTCAGCACAAACTCTCCTGACAGTTCATTCCTTTTCCAGGCTGGAGCAGCTCCCAGTTCCTATGAACTGGGCATGCTGATAACATCTATATCTGCATGAAGAGTGCAAATTCAGCTTCTGACCTGGAACAATGATTGACTACAGGCAGTTGTGATGTTATGTATTGAGTTCTTCTCAAGTCTCTTTGGTATTTCTTTTATTTAGTCTCACTTGTAAATCCCACTAAAACCGTTCAAAAGTGTCTTCTCATTTAGTGCTGTCATTTATTTGCTATTTTGTAGATTTCAGTTCACTAGGATGGGTGACTGCTAATTCTTGGAAGTTGTGGATAACCCAGGACTGGAGGTTCTCTCAAGTGTTGTCTGTGTATAAAATTCATGTTTAAAAAGCTCAGGATACCATTTCCCATTAGCAGAAGGGTGTGTCCCTAAAGCGCAGTGGGAATGGATGAATTAACTCAAGGGAACCCCAATTTGTGCCACCTTTTCCAGGGGATCAGCATTAGTCGGCAGCAGAAATCCCCTATTTGGAATATTCTCACCCACTCCTGTCTAGAGGAGGGGGTAGAAGATAAAATGCAGGTAACAAAATACAGGTCTCAGATTGACAAGGAAAGGGCAACATCAATAGACAGAAAAGTGATTTTTGCAGCTCTCCTCAACCCAAAATTCAGCATCTCAGCCATTGTGAGGCAATAAATTGGATGGAGAGATATCTACAATGATAGAGGTTCAGCCTTTCTAAGCACAAGCCAAACAATCAGGTTTTGCTTTGCTTAAAATTATCTACAACAAAGAAATATTTTTTCCCGTTACAGAAAACTGATTAGGCACAAATCAGCCTATTTTTGATTGAAGTCAACCTCTAATAAAACAGCTAAATGTGTTGGTCTTGTTCACAAATGGCTTTGTGATTTTAGGCTTTTGATCCAAAATACTGTCAGATTATTATCACTGCTGAAATTCTGATTGTATTTCTTTGCTTTTGTGTAGCTATTTCCCACGAAGAGTCCAGCTTTATGAAATCTTTATAGAAGGCTTGTGCAGGTTTTGTTTATAGCAAATCTAAATTGAAGGTTTTAAATCTGGAGAGGATTGTTGTTCCCCCCAGTTATATTGACACAGGATTTTCTATTGCAGAAACAACACAGAAATTCAGAGTTACAATAAGGGAAAGAAATGAGCCAAGCCCCAGTTTTAAATTTCCAAAGCTGTATCACATGACTTTAGCTGACATTAATTTTGGCAGCCTGGCAGAATCCTGTGGACATGTGGATTTTTCTTGGAGGTTGTTTTCCCAAGTTACTCTAGGTATGAATGACTTCTCTTGATTAATTTTAGTTTATAAATCTAAATAAATGTAGCCTTGGAACATTTGGTACTTCACAGCATCATTCTCTGGTGAGCAGAAACATCTGATTTCCACCCCCACCCCTGCACTTTCTGCACAGAGTTGTAAAGGACTCCTTGGGAGTGCGGAGATAAACCTGAATAAAGCAGAATTTGAATTGCTTTTTAGGGCACCTCATTTTAATGTGGGGCCTGAAGGACATGGCCAGGAACTTGTGCAGGGTCTCCCAACAGGCTGAGAGGAAGAGGCAGCAATTCCTGATGAGGAGCACCAGAGACACAGTGAGAGCATGAACTGACACCTGGCCTGTAATCCAGGGAATTTCCCTCTTTGCAACAGCAAAGGCTCCATCAATTTAAAAAAAGGGTTCTCAACCTTCTCTAAAATTTGTCATTTTTTGTTGCAGACACTGGGAAGTGCTCACAAGGATTAGCAGCCAGAAATTACTTCCATAAACACTTCAATTGGGAGGAGACTGAATGGGAATTGGTGCAGGAATACAGCAGCGGATAAAACATTTGACAGCAGGAATTAATCATTTCAAATACTGAACAAATCAGCAAATAAACACCTTCAGCATCTGTGTGCAGACTGTCCCTTGCAGTAGGCCCTTCAATTTGGGATCACCAATTTGATGAAGGTTGGTCTCTCCTCTGTATTGAATAATCAAATGTTTACTGTCCCTCAGCTTCCCTCTGTTTTTAGAATTTAGAATAAAATGAGAATTCACTGTCAGCTTTGATGTTTAAGTGTATCCTGTTGAGCCTGCTAGGCCTGGCTGGGAGACAGAAAAATAGGGTCTGTTTTGATCCCTGCTGAAAACAAGATGAAGAAGGAGGTAAAAATAAATCAACAAATAAGCCCTCCAAGTTGAGTTTAGTTTGTGCAAAGTCAGCTTGGGAAAAATTGATCTATTCCATCCTCAATTAATGAATAACAGCTGCATTAAAAACAAAGCCACAAATACATCACTGAAAATCAAAACTAGCTCTGGTAATATCTTTGGTAAGGATGCTTAAAAAATGAAATAAGAATTTTGCATTTTTTTTAATTTTTCCCACTGGCAGATTTCCTTTCCCAAGATAGGTTTGACTAGAACTCTAAATGCTGGCATCAAGAAGAAAAGGGAGAGGCTCATCCTGCACCTGTTAGGTGCAAGGGTTGATGTGACAGAGAGCTGACAGGGTGAGGCCCCAGCACCCACTCTTGTGACAGGCATCACTGAAATGCAAAATCCTGAAAACTTTAACCACGGCAGCAGCTCCAGTGTGTAATGTACAAGCAGGGTACAAAGTCAGCTCAAGTTAATTTAAAATCTATCCATGGGCAGCTTTCCATTGACTTCCACGAGCACTGCTAACGGTGGCCAGGCAGTGGGAAAAGCCCCTGGAGCTGGGGGGTGAGAGGGACAGGATTCACATGGAACAAGGTCTGACTGTCCCTGGGACATTTCCAGCAGAATCCTGGATTTAGGAGCTGTGAGTTCCAAAGTGCATCCCCTGGAGTTGCCGAGCAAAGCCTTGCTGATCATAACTGCACCAGAGTGTGGAGCTGAGGGAAGATTTGAAGCAAGAACCTGACTTGGGTGCTGCCATTTGCCAGAAGAAGCTGCAGAGATGAAGAAAGAAGAGGTATTTAATTTGGCTTTGGAAACAGGGTAGAAATGACTGACCTACAAAAAAAAAAATTTAAAAAGGAGAGGGTTAGATGGAAAAAAAAAAATCTCGATTCCAAATATTTGATTCAACCTGAAACAAAAGCATTTGTAATAATTCTTTCTCTCTTCTCACCTCTTTTACAGCTTGAATTTTAAGCCAAGCCCAGCTAGCAATGCCCACATGGGCTGCTTGCTTCTGCATTTCCCTGGTGGAACTCGAAAGCGCCCACATTGTTTCCACACTTCCCAAATGTTCCCCCTCCGTTTATTTTTTCATCCCGTCTGTCCCCCGGCTCTCCCCGCCGCCCTTTCCAGCTGAAGTTTGTGTCATCTGTTCCCGGCGGGTTCCTTTTTTTAACTTGCGGGGCCTGCGCCAGCCCCCGAGCGCGGCAGGTGCGGGGCTGGGCCCGCGGCTCCGTCCCCGCCTGAGGGCTGAGGAGCAGGGCTGGGATGGGAACACGGCTGCCAACCCGCCGGGCTGGCCCTGCCCGCGCTCCCATCCCCTCCCGATGGCTGAGGAGCAGGGCTGGGACTGCCGGGGATGGGGATGGGAACGCGGCTGCCAACCTGCCGGGCTCGGCCCTGCCCGCGGGTACCATCCCTGCCCGCGGCTCCCATCCCTGCCCGATGGCTGAGGAGCAGGGCTGGGACTGCCGGGGATGGGGATGGGAACGCGGCTGCCAACCTGCCGGGCTGGCCCTGCCCGCGCTCCCATCCCCTCCCGAGGGCTGCGGAGCAGGGCTGGGACTGCCGGGGATGGGGATGGGAACACGGCTGCCAACCTGCCGGGCTGGCCCTGCCCGCGGCTCCATCCCCTCCCGAGGGCTGCGGAGCAAGGCTGGGACTGCCGGGGATGGGGATGGGAACGCGGCTGCCAACCTGCCGGGCTCGGCCCTGCCCGCGGGTACCATCCCTGCCCGATGGCTGAGGAGCAGGGCTGGGACTGCCGGGGATGGGGATGGGGATGGGAACACGGCTGCCAACCTGCCGGGCTCGGCCCTGCCCGCGGGCGGGGAGCGCAGCCGGGGATGCTCTGCTCGCCTGGTGATGCTCGGTGGTGATGCTGAAGGAGGAGGAGGAGGAGGAAGAGAAGGAGGGGGGAGCTGGCGGGACAGCCTGAGGTGGGCGGAGGGGGGAGGCGGGTGTTAAACCATCGCTCCGGGGAGGGCTGAGCATTTGCAAATTCCGGCTCCAGAGCGCGGGGAGCATCCTACAACCCACGCCGGGCCGCCAGCAGCGGCAGGGCAGGACGAGGCTTCCCGGCTCCCGGGGATCCCGAACGCCTCCTCCCCGGGCCGCCGTGCCCTGCCCGCGCTCCCGGAGCCGCAGCATCGCCCGCAGGCAGCGCTGAGCACAGCCCGGCCCCTGTCCCCGGCGCGCAGCACGGGCAGAGCCCTGGGTGAGTAATGCCGGAGCCCCGCTGCTGCAGGCAGGCCACAGCCAGCCCGGCCCTCCTGCACAGCCTGAGCGCTCAGGTGTGCGCCCGGAAGGTGCGGCAGATCCCTGTCCGCTGGTAGGGCAGGCAGGCTGCGATCCTTGCCTGGAGAGGGATTTTTGAAAGGCTTCCCTCTGTGAAAGCAAGTTACCTGTCACCACTTGGAATTACTCCTCGCCTTGCACAGAACCTTCTCTCTTTCCCCCACCCCTTTCTTTTCCTTTTTCCCTGCCTTACAACTTTCCCAGCCTTGTGGAGTTGCCTCCCTCATTTTCACCCGCAGATTTCCATAGGTAACAAGAAGCCAGTGCCACCCTGGGAGATTTCAGTCGTTGAAGATCAGTGCCAGCAAGTGTCTTAACACACCTGTGTGTTTTTCTTTTGTTCTCCACTAGGCTGAAAAGTCATGACAGCTGAAAAGACTATTCCTATAATTAATGGCAAGCCAGAAGATGCTTTGGACCCAGAAGCCTCAAGTACCAACCTCGTCCACAGCAATGATAAGAAAGTTCATGAAAGAGGTCACTGGAACAATAAGGTTGAATTTGTGCTTTCTGTGGCAGGGGAGATTATTGGGCTGGGAAATGTCTGGAGATTCCCATATCTTTGCTACAAGAATGGAGGAGGTAAGATGGCATCACGTGTGGCTTTACGTGGGAATTAAACAGTTAAGAGTGCTTTCCTGTGATTTATTGCATTAGTAAGAGAGACGTGTTCAGGATTTCAGTGCATGTGCAGACAGGGAAGCATTAACATCTGACAACTCAGAAAAATCGTTGTGTTTCTCTTTCCTTCTCTCCAAACACTGCGTGGTTTATTTTTACAAGTTGCTGTTGCGTTAGTAAATTGACGTATTTTTTTCAGGAGCATTTTTCATGCAGGAGAAGCCAGCATTCAGTTATAGTAGTACACTCTGTCTTCTGCATGTGAATACACACCCAGGCATACTTAACTAAGTTTGTCTGACACAGAAAAGAAGGCAGCACTTCATTTGTCACAGCAGTTTACTTTGGAGAGGATGAGTATTTTTTTTTTCTAATAATGCCACAAAGACTAAATTTCTTTTCTTTGTCACATGAAATTTTTATACCTCAATGTTCTTTTTTTTCCCCTCAGTACTTCCCCAATTCCTACAGCAAGGTAGGGGAAGATGTAAAACTACAGGTTACTCAAAGAGAGCAAGCCCTAATAAACATAACATATGAATGTTATTTGAGAGAGAAAAGAGCAGCCTCAACTTCTACAGAGTATAACATGTGGCATGTATTGGTTATAGCCAACTATAAACTGTATAAGATAAATGACAGTTGAGAATAAGCACATCAGCTGGGACTTGGGCAGCAAGAAAGTAAATTACAAACTCAGTTTAGAATCCTGTGGTGGACTGGGTTCAACATTCTTCCCACTTAAGGCCTGAGTCAGTGGCAGTGTAAACACAGAGGCTGGAAGAAAAATAGGATGTTCAGGGCTGATAAGCGCCGATCTGCTCCTTGATGGGTTTGTTTGCTCTGCCAATTTTCTATTCCTTGTCCCTCCTTATCTGAACTCAGGGATGGTTTTTAGCCCGTTTTGTGTGCTGTTTCTACAAGACAAATCCTGCTGTGCAAATTGTGTTTATTGTTGGAAGTTCCTTTCTTTATGTCTCTGTATTTTGGCCAAACATAGGTACAAAGAGTTCAGCTCTTTAGAGAATGCTGCTACCAGATCCTGAATATTAACATGCTGCACATCATATACACAACCCTTTCTTGTTGATGGTCAAAGTCTTCCCAGAGAACTTTTGGCAGAGGAAATGACAGGAATATATTTTTGGTGTGTGATTTTTTTGGTTTCTGCAGCTTTAGGTGCCCATTTGTAGGTGTGTGCCAACTTGTCAAAAGTTGATGCTATCATTTTAAAGGCTGTAACATGAGGTAGAAGGAATTTTAATCATTGTTTTGGGTGATTTGAAGAAAAAGTAATTACTTAAATATCATATTGATCACCACTGAACTCTTTAAGAGTAGAATAAGGGGGTGTGATTTAATTGCTCGTGTCCTGGCACCATGGGACATTTGCCATTGACCAGTTTTAGTCAATGAAGGCTCAGTCTGTGAGCTTGTGTAACCCCCTGCTGGAATTAAACCAGAGTTTGTTTTTAGTGCTTAAATTTGATGTATCCAACCCCTTGGCGTGTGCTAGGGGAAGACAGTGGTAAATATCTGAGCTAGTTGTGAAATAAATTGCTCTTTAGAGAACAAATCTAGAAGCTGTAGTTGGGAACTTGTGAGGTGTGACCTCTCTAGCACTTACTCCAAGTCACAACAGGAGTGTAGGAATAATCATCCATAAGTTTAGGCTGTGGATGTTCAGGTTTTGAGGAAAATTGATTTCTTTTTGTGTTTAGAATGAGGTATTTCTTGGAATATGATCTTTTTGCCGGGCATCCTGATGTTTTCTAATGTTCCTGATGTATGCCGGTTGGAAAAACAAGCTGGTAATTTGGATTTCCATAAATTGCATTGTTAAACTCACTGTGATAGTGTGTATGATGATGCTGGCCAGTAAATTATCCAGAGGAGCCATGCAAGTATTCCATTCTTTGTGGAATCCCTATGGATTGCTTGAGAGGCACCTGGGGTTCATCTCTAGGGAAATTTCCTGGCTGAAGGAAGAGACTCCTGGTGATGAGATGAAAGAAACTTAGTCAGAGCAGGTGGATGTAGTTTTCTCAGCTTTCTAATCAGGGAGATTGAATCAGGGTGAAGCACAGCAGCTGTTGTAGGGTGTGGCTGTGCTGGGTTTGGGTTTGCTGTGGTTCACTACCTGTGCTGGAGTTTACTGTCAGCATCCAACCAAAATGCTGATGCTTTATTTTCTTAAAATTTCACATCAATATTCCTGGTTGATAAGGCCAGGCCCTGCTTTTCTGTCCTTGAAAGTAGTTCTGAAGTTTGTTTCCTCATCCCCTTTTCACAATCCTTATCATATAAATAACATGAAAAGGGTTTCTCAGCTTTAATATCTGTAACGCTTCCTCACCCCTGAGAAAAGCAAGGAGGGTGGTGCAGACTGATGTGCTGGGCAGAGCAGAAGTCTGAGCTGAGCATGGCTGTGATCTTTGTGTTTGAGAGACTCCTGAGCTGACTTTGACCTGGCTGAGGAACTTTGACCTGGTCTGTTTTAGTCCATGGCCCTGCTTTACAGGTTAATGTTGGCCTTTTGGGGCAGGAGGAAACCCTTCCTGCACCGCGCTGATGGCTCCCAGCTGATCATTCCCTTAATGGAAAAATCCTCACTGTGCTACTGAGGAGCCCTGTACATTCTAACCAAGACCCCTTCAATATCCACCCCCAGGTGCTTTCCTCATCCCCTACGTGGTCTTTTTTATTTGCTGTGGAATACCAGTATTTTTCTTGGAGACGGCCTTGGGACAGTTTACAAGCGAAGGAGGCATCACATGCTGGAGGAAAGTTTGCCCTCTCTTTGAAGGTAACAGTTCTGTGTTCTATTGCAAAAGAAAGCATTCCATTTGAAGTAAAATGAAATAAATTGTATCAAAATTAAAGTTAAGATAAACTTAAGAGTAAGCTTTTGTTTTTAAATTAAATACAGCCTAAAAAGCAGAAGTTTTCTTTACTATCTCACTTTTTGTTTTGCTACTCCAGGCATTGGCTATGCTACCCAAGTTATAGAGGCACACCTAAATGTATATTACATCATCATTTTAGCATGGGCTATCTTCTATTTGTTCAACTGCTTTACTACAGAGCTTCCCTGGGCTTCCTGTGGCCATGAATGGAATACAGGTATGACCCCAGCAGAGACTACCACTATAAAAATCCTCTCAGGTGATTGATTATTATATTGAAATATCCTGAACAAAGCTATTGGTGTAGCAATATCTGTGCAAGTGGGCCAGTCTCATCCCACTACAGCAAAAAAAGGAAACCTGGAGTGAAACTGCCTTGGACCTTTTTGGGTTAGGTCATTGTAAAGCATTTACTCCTCTAGAATATAATGTCAGCAGAAAAAGACTATGGATTTGTTAATTCTGTAAGATCTCCTGGCTAAATCCCAAGACTCTCATTTGCAATCATATCTATTCTCCCTGAACACAGTGAGTGAATTCTGCAGCAGAGAATGACCTGATGACAGGTTGCAATCTTGCTCTTTCACTCTAATGAAGTCAGGAGGAGTTTGAATGGAGAGAGAAAAATATTAAATGTGGATCTTTGGAATTGCTCTTTTAAATGCCAGATGTTGAGGGATAATGTTCATCAAGCTACTTCTGGAAATGTAGTCTCATAAATAATCCTTGCTGCATGTAAAGTAGCCTCCTGCATGAAGGATGAGGTATGTATTCAGGAGGGTTTGCAGGGTAGGGCTCTGCATCTGTCCTCTCATTGATATTTATAGCTGTCATTCTCTGCTTACTGAGTCTCTAGATCCCAAACATCCATGGGGAGGATCTCATCCCACTGTCCTTGTTCCTGAAATTTTGCATGTATCCCTTATATGAATCCAATTTCAAATCAAGTACCCATCATGTTGTCTTTCATAGTTTTCACTAATTGGCCTTTTTTTGTGTTCTTTGGGCACACCTAAAGCTGCCTGAAATCTTTGGGAGGTAATTTTGGGCCCAATAGATGTGGAAGGCTTTGGTATCAATTTTGGCAGCCCTGCCAAGGAGCTTGGCCAGTGTTATCACTGCTCAAATGCTCCACAGTGCTGAGCTGCTTTGGCCTTTGTGTTAGAGAGAATAATAATAGTGATAATAATAATAATAGCAGTGATAAGCCAGAGGAAATACCCACTTTCTTTACCAGGAAAAAGTGGGAGTTTATGGCTGGCCATGTTCCCTTTGTAGCCATAAACTACTGAGGCAGCAGCTGGATTAGGAGCACGTTGTAATTGCAATTCCCAATCCATTGCCTCAATGTTTCTTTTGTCTGCCTGAGATGATTTTTTGGCCCTGTGTCTCTGGGAAGTGTTGTAGGAGAGTTCTCATGGATGTTTCTCTGAGTTATCATAACCTAGTGTTGCATAAGTAGCAGCTGTGCTCCCTTAGTGCCCCCAAAATCCTTTAATCCCTCCCAGAAAATGTGGTATAGAGTGGGGGCTTTCCAAGGTGCACAAAGTGGGACATGAACAACAACTGTACTTGCATGTCAACATAGCAAACTCTTTTTTTTTTTTTTTTTTTTTTTTTTTTTGGTTCTTTTCTAGAAAACTGTGTGGAATTTCAAAAACTCAACATGAGCAACTGCAGTCAAGTCTCTTTACAAAATGCCACTTCTCCAGTGATGGAATTCTGGGAGTAAGTGCACAAAAACTTTCTATTTGATCAGACTATTCTATTTGATCAGACTATTCACTACCTTTCTATTTGATCAGATTAGAATGTTCATTACCTTGCAATGATTTGACCATTTAGACCTCGTAACCCTAGAGCACTTAGGGGTGTGAGTTCAGCTGGAAATTTTCTTATCCAGCCATGGTCAGAATGAGAGTTTTTAACTCTTTTTTAAGAGGATACAAGGAAAGGAATTCCATATCCTGAAAGGACATAGAACAAAATGTGCCACTTGCTCGGGAGCTTGGCTCCTGCTGCTGGAGGAAAGAGCCTCCAACCCATACTAATGAGGAGGCAAAGGTGAAAGAAAAAAGATGATTTACAATATTCCCTTTTTTTTTTTTTTTTTTTTTTGCTTCCCCCCCAAATGTTTCTTCCCTTAGGAGTTTGAGAGCTACATCCTCATCCTTGTTTCAGCTAACTAATACTCTGGCTTCTGGATCTCATTATTTTTTAAAGGACTGTGTAAGTGTTAGTTATTCAGCTAGAATAACAGCAGAGTTTAACTCTCTCCTGTCCCCCTGACTCTGATTTCTTGTTAGACTAAGGGAAGAAAATCAGGTGTTTGCAGAGGATGATCTGCTTTTGTGGTGGCATATTTTTTCTGACTATAAATATTTAATCAGTGCAGTGTAGCTTCCCATTTGTTCCTTGCAGGGTTTAGTGTGTTTTAAGCCAATCAGAGAAATGGAATGTTACTTTCAATTCTGAGTGATTTCACAATTCAAAGCTTGTTACACAATTCTGGGTTACTACAATTTCTTGAGGACCCATTAATTTTATTTTTAAGACAGAGCCTTTTTCTGAGGCTGTTTTGTGTTCAGGACAGCAACAGCTACACTTTAAAGAACCAGGAATTAAAACTCCTTGAAGGGAAAACTCTACATTGACTTAATTTCCTTCAATCTTAGGACATGCTATTGTCTGCCTGAATCTCTTTTTCTTGCTACATCAGTAAGCTTAGATTTCATGAGTTATTTCAGCAAATAATACTGTTTTATTTAAAAATAAAATACCTCCCCCAACTAAATTAAACCTGATTAATATGAGAGACATATGCACTCTCTGGGTAAAACTGAAATTTTATTTTCTGTTGAAATTTTCAATAATCTGAACACCTAACACCTTAAATCAAAATATATCTACCCACAGATAATATTTCAGAATAAACAAGAGTTTCTCAGGTGGTGTCACTTAATCCATGCAACTATACCAGATTTTTGCTAAAATAAAATATGGTTCTTTGGGACAACGAGAATTAAGTCTTAACATCAGTGGAATAAATGAACAATACATTTGCTCAAGTATTAGCCAATTTACCCTCTGCATTTATATAATTTTTCAACAATATTCCCAACTCTGCCACTGATGGTAACTCCAGTTATCCAGAGAAGTAGGAAAGGTTTAGTTCAGTTCTATGGAGGGCACAGAGTAAGTTTTACACTCTCGTATTCCTATGGTTTTACACGCTCAGATTTCTGTGGTTTTGTGGGTTTTGTGTTAGTGCTCATCTCTGGAGTGCCTGAATTCCTGGGTCAGTGTTATTTTGAAGCACAAACAAATCCATTTTAAGGATGTCCCTTCTCAGGGATCTCTGAAAATGAAGCTAAACAAGAGTCTCTAGCGCAATCAAGTTGCAGTGGGTTTTAATCCCTTCCATTTCGGGGCATATTTCCCTGCCTGATTTTGGCTAAATCAGGAATAAATTACGAAACTAGAAAGGAGAATCAGATTTAGCCTTTTCTCTAGCTGGTTTTACAGTCTTGTCAATAAAAAGTTGAAAATACACATTCCAAATCTTTTAAAATCACAAACACTTAAAAAAAAAAAGTTAAATAATCTGTTATTTATTTGGAATGCCTGTCTTTATTGTGTCACAGACAAACTTTTTGTAACACTAACAGTTTGCTGGCCAAAATAAGTTAAGATATTAAACTTTTCTACTTTCTTTGTCCAAGTAAAACTGGAGTTGCATAGTTTTGCACACAGGAAATAAATGTACTCTCTTCCTGCTAAGGAAAGTGTTTGCCCTGTTTGAAATTTAAGTAGTTATGATGTTGCATGGCTTCAAAATTGAAAAAAAACCCCCATGAAAAACTACTTTCATAGTGGAAGAATGAGCTTCTTTAAAAATCAAGAATGATTTTGCCTTGAAATAACTAATAGGAATTAAGATTACAATTAAGTTATGTCTTAAATATCAGACATAAAAGAACAGCAGAGTCTTTCTGTATAAAGAGCAGACCAGAGAGCAGTTCATACAAAGTGACTATTGCTAGAAGAGTTACTTTGTGTGGAGATAAGTGTTATCAGCAACGTTATTTCCCTCAGCTAGAGGTGGTGTTCTCATCATGCTGCTTTATGATTTTGTAAATTCTGCTGCCAGGAGCTGCAAACTCATTGTAAGCTTGTTGAAACAAACAGTAAAAAGGAGAGTTGCTGGAGCAGGGAAGGGGGAGGCTCCAGGTTTCTTCTGAAGAACCATTCAGAACCTTCACACTTTGCTCCCTGCAATGCCAAGGCTGCCATTGAAACTCCTCTGAGTTGTGGCCACATAAATCCAATTTATTGTGTGAAGGGTTGGCTGTGGGGGAAAAAATGGGGTTTTGTAGTTTTTGTTTGGTTGTTTTTTGGGGGTTGTTTTTTGTCTGTTGATTTAATCTGTGGATTAGAGTGGTAACTGTTGTGCAGTGATCCTGTCTGCTTTTTGTGAGTGAGCTTGTTTACATGTGAAACTCAGCCCTGCATTTGTAAAGTGTCAGGCTGATGCTGCAGCTCTCCTTTCACAACCGTGTCCCACTGCCACAGCCTTTTATGGTAATTACACCATCTTCAGATGGTTTTAACTAAACCCAGCCTAACAAGAAGAGACTCAGTAATTCCCCAGTGGCTTTGCAGTGCTCTGTGCTGCTCTCAAGCTCAGTGCTTCCAGTCTGAGAGCTCCTCATGCTGGGCAGGTTCAGGTTGTTGTTTCACACAGGATTTACATTCCCAAAGTGCCACCAGAGGTTGGGAGCAGGGGGATAAGTTGGATTTGGATTTAAGTGTGTAAATTAATACATCAGGCCCAAACCATCTTTATTTCTGGCTTTGGAAAGGAATTTTTTCCCTTTTACCTGGTGCTGCTAAGTCTTTTCCACCAACTAGGCTGTAAGGCTCAGCCCTTATTCACACATGACTGGAAGTAAATCCAAATCCTCAGCTGGCTTGAGGATTGCAAACCCAAACTCCAGCCTCTCTGCTGAAATATTTGTGGCTTTTGCTGCTTCTGCAGCCTTGGCAAGTCCTAAAGTTGTGGCTGAAGTCAGCCAGGGACTGTGCCATCAGCAGAGGTGGCAGAGGATACCTGGCAGTGCCATGAAGCTTTTCCAGCTCCTCTTCCTCAGGTGTGCCCAGAGGATGCTGCTCCCTCAGCCAGAATAGTCTGACCTCTGAGAATTCATCTTCTCTCCCTGCTTTGGTAGCTGTCTCACACAGAGGGTGAAAGTTTAATTTTTGTCTTGCACAGACTGTTTCTTTGTTAAAACAAACCAAGAAAGGATTCAGAGAGAAATCCTCCAGCAGGTCCTAGGTGCTGTTTTCCTCCTGGTACACTCTAAAGAACCTCATTAAACTTCCAAACTTTAAACATTTTTGTGAGACTGTAATTGATGACCACTTCCCTGTAGCTACACAGTGGAAATGGGCTGGTCCTGCTGGAGGTGCAGCAAAACCAGAGTTTGGACACTCTTTTCTTTTTTTTCCTGCTTAGAAATATCTATTTCTGTCAGTGTTTTAAGGCTTTATTTGAGAGAGCAGACACCACTGACAACTGATCAAAATTAGGGGATTAAAGGATTTCTTACTCAAGAAGGCCTTGCAAGCTGCAGCCTTGAGAAGTTCCAAATTCTGTGTGTACAAGGAAGCAGCTAAACTGATAAAAATTCACTTTTTATTCTTCAAACTCACTATTGCTGTGTTCCAAAGGACAGATAAGAGTCTGAATTTCCACTTTTCCTTTCATTCTCATGCCAGCATTCAGAGACTTGACCTGTTTTCTCCCATCTATGGCTTTTCCCTCACCCCAATTGTATAGTTTAAAAATTTTCTAAGAAAAAGTAATAATCACACTTTCAAGTTGTGGCACATAGAATTTCTGGTGTCCAAAATTTGAATAGTTAATACTGGTAGCTGCTAATTACTGCTAAATTAAAGCAGGTTATGAAAAAGCACTGTGGCTGTGGGTAAGGGTGCATTTGCAGCCTGGCAAACGGAGGGGAGATGCTCTGCTCCATCATTTTTCTGCTTTCCTACGAGAGGAAATTGCCTGGCAGGTGTGGGGGCTGCAGCCATGCCCCTGTGCCCTTTTGGCTGCTGCTCCAGTCTGTCCCCACGGGCAGGAATTGGAGCTTTCCAGTGCCTGGGAAGGGAGCTGGACAGAAAGAGGAGCCACAGCTTTGTGGCTGATTCCACCTCAATGGTTTTTTATTGGCTGTGTAGCAACAACTTGGTGCTCTGTTCAAGGAGGTCTGGTTGTTGGCCTGTCACTCTCTGGAGGGGGTGACACATCCCCAGTCTTTCCAAGTAAAGCCTAGTGAGAAAAAACATTGGTTTTGTCTGGGCTAAAAGAAAAGGGGCTGTTCTCAGCAAAAAGGAAAAGGCACAAACCCTTTCCTTGCAAAGTCAAAGAAGAGGTTTTTTCCTGTTTCATTCAGGCTACAAACGAGTGCAGGAGTCACATTGTGGTTAATCCCCAGCACACTGAAAAGTCAGGGGTGAGCTGAGCCTGCTCAGTGCCCGGGGGATCCAGCACCACCCCGAACCAGCCCCTTTGTGGGTGTCTTGTAGGACATTGAGCAGTGCCAGACCCTCCTCTTGCTGCCCAGCTCATAAGGGGCCGTGTGAAAATGGCTTTTTCTTTGGAGCCTCGTGAGCTCTCCATCTGGGTTTGCCTCAAGATCACTGACTTTGCCTGACTTCAGCTG